CCATGTGTGAACTTGAGTCTTAGTTTTCTTAGTGTCTTGGAAGAAGTTTGCAGAGACCATGGGGCTGCTGATCCCTGCTGGGGAGCCAGTGACACTGATAATACGGAGTCTGATTTATGTTTTTAAGGTCCGCTATTGCAATTCCTTGGATGAGGAGGAGAAGAGGGAGCTCAAACTCTTCAGCAATCAAAGGAAGAGGGAAAATTTAGGGAGAGGCAACGTCCGGCCATTCCCTGTAACCATGACTGGAGCCATTTGCGAGCAGGTGAGCAGCAGCCGCGGCCGTTTATCGCGGAGCAAGCGTGGGCAGATTCCCCCGAGGTCCTGGGCGAGGGATGCCCCCAGCACATGGCACCCGTCAGCTGTGGGTGGGGGCCCTAGAGCACCCCACTATATTTGAAGACCAAAGCAGTCATTGTAACTGAGTCCATCCCATGGCTCCCCCATCCTAAGGCTCCTGGCCTTCACGCACGGAGGGGGAATGTGTGGTTGACATCCTGACTGCACATTAGGGTTCAAAGGAGATGAAGAGGCACCAGAACGGGGATATCTTTTCTCCAAGCTGTGAATTAGCCAGGAAAAAAAAAGCACCTTGGCCTGGTGCTTTTGCACAAGCCAGCTCCCTGAGCTGTGGCCCGTGGGCCCTCGTGGACATGGTCTCTCTGGGCTCGTGTAAAACACGACACTTGTTCTGACAGTGTGGGGGCCAGATCAACGGCGGGGACATGGCTGTCTTCGCCTCGCGAGCAGGGCACGGCGTCTGCTGGCACCCCCCTTGCTTCATCTGCAGCATTTGCAACGAGCTGCTCGTCGACCTGATCTACTTCTACCAAGATGGGAAGATTTACTGTGGCAGGCACCACGCCGAGTGCCTCAAGCCCCGTTGCGCAGCGTGCGACGAGGTAAGAACGAACCAACGTCTTGCTTGTCTTGTAGTCTTGGCTTTAAGCTCTGCCTACCCTGCACAGCACCACGTAGACATAGGTGCCTCCCAGACCAGTGGGGTTAATTTAGTGTTTTTCTGAGATGAGAGGGTGCAAGTGACTCATAAGAATAAAAGAAGGCACCAGGACAGGCAATGATTTGAGCCTGGAAGCTGATGTTTGGAAGCTTCATCAGAAGACCTCGCTCTTTGTGAGCTGGACAGAAGTGGAATATGCTTCTTCTGCCCCTAAAATTAGCATTAGCAACGCACATCCTATGGTTCACAGGGCTGACACGACAGGGTTCCCCTTGTTGACACAGGGTACTTTCCCCCATGTTTGTCTCGGCTCCCATAGCGCCTGGCGCTGCGGCATTAGGTGCATTAGCATGGACAACCTCTGCGCAGAGGCCTGTGCGGAGAGCATGGGATGTATGATGATTTGACTTTGTCTGGGGTTCATGCCAAGTTCTCCTTGGGTTTCAAGTTTGTGTCTTGGGGGAGTTTCTCTGGGATTTTTAGTTGAAATCTGCTTAGAGTTACTCTAAGATAGGTCCTGGTTTGCGCGCAGGGAGCCCAGGAGATCTTTCCATAAGAATTTCCTGTAACAGCACACCCGTGCTATGTAATTTTAGCCCGTTTCTGTGTGGCGTTGTTTCCCTCTCGTATATATCTCCCAGAAGAAACTTTTGGTAGGATGAGTGTTGTATGTCTTACAACATAGTAGGTAGTGTTTGAGTATCCGCTGAGTTGAAATAGGCTTTAATACAGGAGACTGAACGGATGGATATAGGAAGCTGAACAAATGGAATCCAAAACGAATATAGAAAAACTGTGCAAAGTTGACTGTGAGTATTTCTCAAGTGTCAATCTTGGTTTAAAAGGCTGGAGAAGGAAATCGTTCTGGCTTTTAAACTTATGAAAGCCATAGTGTGGAAAACCATATGTACTATAAAATACCAAGTTCCATCCATACAAGCATATATAATAGTAAAAATCCAAGGCTGTATGCACATCAAATATAAAGACATTGACGTATGTATCCAATTAAATTTGTAACGTTACCAGTAAAAAAACAACTCCTAACCATTCAACTGGCCGTATTTCCCAGTGGTTTAGGCTGGATAATTTTTCTTCATGTAATTTTTATCCTTGCAAATTCTCATACAAATCTTTCGTTTGGCTTCTTTAACACTCACTTCTTCCATTAAAAGGTCCAGCACTAATTGCAAGAAGGAGTAACTGAGAACGGCAGGAAAAGGAAAGTTTCCTGTGTGATCGGGGCCAGGGGCAGAGCCCCGGGAACAGAGCCAGGCCCCTGCTTGCTTTCCCACCTCATCTTTGCTCACTGCGTGGGGATAGAAAATAGAGATAGCAAGAAAGCATCTACTTAACCGTTTCAGATGGCTGTTTCACCAGCCCACTCGTAACGGTGCTCTGTGCCTCAGTTTCCCCACTGGTGTAATGACTGTTACCACCTTTATAAACGCGTGGACAGCTGGGTAGGGAGGATGGGGAAGAGCCGTGTACGCTGTCTTCTCTCTTCCCAAGAGATGCCATTTTTCACTGTTTTCCATCCTCCTTTGTACTCGGGTTCCCTGTCTCAGTGATGGGTAGACATGCTTTAATAAATGGCTGTTCTGTTGCTCAAGAGTCCACCAGATCAATAAGTTGTTTATAAGCATGTTTATTACCGCGATCGACTCCTTCTACTGCTGTACTTACGAGCACCCTTAGGGCACGTTACTGGGAGGTGTCATTAACGCTTTATAAAAATCCATTCACTAATGCAGTCCCTGACGGATTTGCATTTTAACGCGAAGCTCCTCTGGGTAACGATTTCCTTGGGAAATGACCGGTGCACCTGCCTGAAGCCAAACCAAGGGAGATTCCCGGGGGCCCCGGGGCGGTAGGTGTCGAACGCAGAGGTTCGCAGCCTGGCTGTGGGACTGTGAGCAAAGGGGCACAGCGGGGGACGGCCGGCAGGGGCCGGGCCGGGTCGGTGTCCACGTCCCCTCTCTGGCTGCAATTTTACTCCGTGTTTCTTTCCCCCCCCCCCACCAGATCATTTTTGCCGACGAATGCACCGAGGCCGAAGGCAGACACTGGCACATGAAGCACTTTTGCTGTTTTGAATGTGAAACGGTGCTGGGGGGCCAGCGGTACATCATGAAGGACGGCCGGCTGTCCTGCTGCAGCTGCTTCGAGTCCCTCTACGCCGAGTACTGCGACACCTGCGCCCAGCACATCGGTACGGCGCTGCCGCCTCCCCCCGCCGCCCCGGAGGGGCACCGGAGCCGGGGAGAGGGCAGCACGGGGCGACCTAAAGGACAGACCTAAATCACGGTGCAGACATACCCATCAGGGCTTGTTGCGCACTTACTCCAGATTTTGCACTGCTCTGATTGAAATGCAGCGGAGGGGAGCAGTGTGAGCAGTGCAAAGCTCCGCAGAAAGCCCATTTCTGGCAGCGGGAGCCGTTTCGTTAGGTCTCTGACAACAACTCGGCAACACAGGAGCCGGTGGGACTCCAGGCACGGCCGCCCCCACCCCACGGTGGGAAATCTCCAGGCCTGCCCCAGCCCTATATCTGCTCTGCTTCCTGCGCGTGAGGAGGAGGACTCCTGTCCTGCAGAGCCTCACTCCTCTCTGGGAAGCTAGAGCTGTCCTTTGTTCAAACCACTGCTTTTCCAGGGGTGAAAAGTGAGGGCAGATTTCTATCCCTTTTTTGTGGCAGGAGAGGGATTTGTTGAAACAGGGAGGAACATCAGGGAGCAACCTTAGGAACTATTATAGCTAGTGAAAGCCAGTTCACTAATTTAATGTGTGCTCATTTTCCTTTACACAGCCTAACTCTTTTAATTTCAGGCTCTTAACAGCAAGCTTGCTGAAGGATTGCATGGCTTAATGAGTTCCTAGACAGGAAAGATGTTTGTTCATTAGGATCATTGTTTCTTTTTGCCTTTTTTTAATTAACCCACAGATAGATGTTCTCAGACAAAAAGAAACAATGCATCAGAAGTCCGTCTACGGTTCCAGAACAAGGAGAGTCAATGCTTTAAAATATATTTTATACTAGGGACTAGCTGTTTTTCCTCCCTCTGCGCCTGTACCTTACACCGCGTTGTAAATGAGGCTCCTCTTGCAGTGGTAAAGGTGGGCTTTGAAGCAATCTTCCCGTGCTCTGCAATCTGTTTGCCACTTTGCTGAGCATTTAAATGCATTTGCAGACCCGGGTGCAGAGACAGCCCTTCGGTCTGTCCCTATAGGCAAGCTCCCACGTTTGCGCAGCACTTGAGTGCTGAAGGGAGAGAAGAAGACGATTTTGCTCGTGTGCAGCGGCCAGATGGCAAGGGGGAAGTCTCAAGGCTTCAACGAAACACTTGGAGGACATGTTAGCTTTGACCTATCGCACCTCCTTCCCCAAAGCTCGGCTGCTGAGCAGTGAAGAAGCAGCTGTTCAGCTTCTCGTGCGCTCGCCCCTCTTGTGTCTGCCCCATCTGTTGTCCTTTTTGTCCTCCATCGGTCTCCCGGGCACAGCCGAGTTGCCCCAGGTCGCCTGAGCCCTGGCGACGGGCCGTTAGCTTATGGCAAATGTGAAGTAATGCGACTCTGCTGGGGCCGTGATAAAAGATTTATTTTTATAAAAGATAAGAAATAATTAAGTCTGATTACCCTGTATTTGCAATGAGCTGTGTGCAAGCACGTGGGCTTAGCTTAGCCAAGGCTGAACTGGTGCACGACTGGTTGCGCTGCTGTAATTGCATCGGAGCCTGTCAGGTCTGCGGGACGGAGGTATTATTTTGATGGATATCTGCTCATTTCGAGCAAAGAGAGACCACAGCCATTTTGCGCAAGGTGCTACACTGCAAATTGCTAGTAGTAGCCACTGAAGGTTGTGCTTAACAGCCATATAAATTAGAGCTAAGCATGCGCCTAAGACTTTAAAGAATTGGATTGTATTCTAGGGTCACTGGGTGAGGAAAATGTGCTCCTTTTTCCATGAGATGACTTCAGGTGATTGAGTAGGGAGCTGATCGCATCCCACCCACCGTCTCGTCTCTCTTTTGTCTGCAAGTGTAGCAATTCACTCTGTATATAAAAGCAGTTTGCTCATTAGGAAGGGAAGAAGAAAAACAACTATGCTAAAGCAAATTTAGCTTGGAACAAAGCGGACCGTTAACATATCGGTAGTTTCTAAATCCTCTGGCGGCATCAGTCCCTACGGGGGACTGTGCGACGTGCGTGCCAGCCCGTGCTGCGCCCACATGCCCGGCCCTGCACAGCCTGCGCCTTGCGCAGCAGTGACTCGGGTAATGGGGATTTGAGGTATGTAGAGGCTCAGAGCCAGCTGTGGAGTACGGTGACGAGCTGGAGATAATTCCTAGGTAAATACAGTGGTAATTGGTGTTATTGCACTTGCAGCCGCTCTGACTTGCGACAATGATTAGCCCTGTGGTTTTGCTTGCTGGGGACAGAGTCGCTTTGTCAGGCCCGCGATGAATTAAGTCCTTCCCTTCAGCCCGAGAGGGGTCGAAACCCAGCTGGGTAACAAGGGGACTCACCCAGGTCCCTGGGGCGAACTCCTTCCCCTCTCCTTTGGAGAAGGGGCCACCGTGGTTAAAATGAAGTTTGGACAGAAACTCAGTGGGGAATGGAGCAGTGAGAGACAAGGTATGTGATCCTGTTCTGTTAAGCAATTACAAAGGCAGCACAAATTCCTCTTTATGGTTTGGTTGGAGATTTTTTTGTTTTCAAAGTAGTCAGCATATTATTGCTTTGACTTCAAGAACTTTATGGAGAACTTCTTGCATTCCTGTGCTTTATGATGGGAAATATCCCCATTTAATATGAAATAGCTCGAGGCTCGATTCTGCTGCCTTTTCCAACATTGAGTAAGTCCTCAGCAAAAGCCTGGAACCTGCAAAGAATTAGGAGTGGACTTAGTCTCACACGCTGCAGAAACCCCACTGAAGTCCTTTCGAAAACGAGCCCGGGTATGTATCGCTCATAGGGGACGGCTGCTCAACACGCGTGTTGAGTGCAGTGTTAAGTGATGAGCACATAAAGCTTCAGGAAGGGAGCGCTTAACTTCCAATAGGTGGCTTAACTCTGACGCTTTCTATGTGGTTTCCCCCCTCCAGGTATTGACCAAGGCCAGATGACGTATGACGGTCAACACTGGCACGCCACCGAGACCTGTTTCTGCTGCGCTCAGTGCAAGAAGTCCCTCCTGGGCCGGCCGTTCCTCCCCAAGCAAGGGCAGATATTCTGCTCCCGGGCGTGCAGCGTCGGCGACGACCCCAACGGCTCGGACTCATCGGATTCGGCGTTTCAGAACGCGAGAGCGAAGGAATCCCGCCGCAGCGCCAAAATCGGCAAGAACAAAGGGAAGGCCGAGGACAGCATGTTAAATCCGTGCAGCCAGCTGCAGGTGACCTCGAACCGCCTTTCCACAGACGTGGATCCGCTCTCGCTGCAGATGGATTTGCTGAGCCTCTCCAGTCAGACACCCAGCCTCAACAGAGAGCACCTGTGGAGGAGCAGGGAGGAGCTCTATCACTACGGGAATAAAATGGAGCAAAGTCAATCCCAAAGCCCTCTGCAACTCCTCAGCCAATGCAATATAAGGACTTCGTATAACCCCAGCCAGGTGCCAGCCTCTCAGCCAGATTTATGGGCTAAACATTTCAGCAACCCAAAGAGAAGTTCCTCGCTGGCAATGAAGGGGCACAGCAGCAGCTTCATCCAGGATTGCAGAGACGACTACTATTCAGGAAGACTTCGCTCACAGGAGAGCTACAGCGATATGTCCAACCAGAGCTTCCCCGAGACCAGAGGAAGTGTGAAAGTCCCAAAGTACGAAGAAGAAGAAGAGGAAAGCGGGATGCCGACACAGCAGTGTCGGACCCGGCATCCCATCAACGCACTTAAGTTCACAGAGGACCTAACACCCACGGAGCAAACTCCGCGGGGCTCCATGGAGTCCCTCGCGCTTTCGAACGCAACAGGTACGTCGCGTCAGCCCGGAGCAGCGCGGGTGGCTGGGAAGGGAAACTTTCTCTGCCTCGGTGGGAGTGGACTGCCTGGAAGCAGGCACTGGGGTGCATTCAGGTGATGATCAAAGGTTTGGGATGCCCCTGGGGTGTGACAGCCTAATTGCCTTTGTAAGTGCGCAAAAACAGTCTGAAGCCCTGCGGCAAAGCCTAGCGAGCGAGGAGGAGTTTGCTGAGCGGGCTCGCGGGCAGCCGTGCCAAAGGAAAATGCAGAGAGCCAGCGGTGGAAAGGGAGAAGCGTTTGCATGTGATCTGAGCCATTGCGTTTGACGAGGCTGTGTGTGCTCTGGGCCAGCGCCACCATGGGCGTACGCCCACATACCTTTGATACATGTGTCTTCCCATTAAAGCTAAACATAACCGGAACATTTCCTCCATCCATCCCAGGTTTCTCTTTAAACACAAAAGGGTGAGGTTGATGGGTTATTTTGCCTCTTGATTCGCTGGTGCTCCCGGCACACTCAGAGTCTTAAATAAACATTTTCAGTAATACGAAAACCTCTACTTATTTCCCGATTTAAAAAAAAAAAAAAAGAAAGGACTCCTCCCTTGAGCTGTGTTAAGCCCTTTGCAAGCGCAGCCTCCCCGCGGAGGCTGAACGCTTGGTGCTGCGGCAGTGCCAGGACCTGGTGGTTGTGCGTGGCACTGCTGTCTCAGTGTTTGCTTGTTTACCCGATACAGCGCTTTATAGATGGTTGGCCTTTCCGCATAGTTCAAAACAAATGTTTCCAAGCTCTTTAATCCTCCCTTTTGTGAAGAGGGGGAAGAACCAAGGCCAACTGCTAAAGCAGAGACAGATTCCAGCATTCAGCATCTAAAGAACTGCTGCAAGCAGCTATTGAGGACTAAAAATGTTTTTAAATACTTTGAAATAGGCCCAGTTAACCCCTTTTGCGTGTTTTGCAGTCATCAAGCATGGTTCTAGTTAAGACAAATTCCTTCCCTTTTATATACAGCTCTTTTTCTCTTCTTCTCATCCT